AGCCGGGTGAAGAGCAGCGTGGGCGAGCTGTTCGACGAGCGTGGGATGGACGAGGTGGACGTGTGAGGAGCAGTACCAAGGGTTAAGCTGAGGACGATTACTGTTGCATGCATGTGTGTTCTGGGGTGTGTCGGCGGGGCGGCGGGTGGGACAGTTCGGTACAGTGGGGTGCAGAATCTGTACAGCTGCGCGTCGCGGACGTGGCGTTCCGTTGGTGTTTCCGGCCGCGCGGGCGGCGAGTGTGGAATGCACCACGTGTACACGCGGGACACGCGGGACACGCGGGACACGCGTCGCGCAGGTGTTTACTGACTGTTGGCGTGTGTTTGGGGCGTTTTGGTTCCCTTTTCTGAGATAATGTTGCATTTGGGGGGGCGATCAGGTGCATTTTGGTGGCAACAGACGGGTGAAATCGGAAAAGTTGTAGCGAACAAGGGGTGACGGCGGTAACTTTGCAAGAGGTACCCATCCGCTAAACGCAAAATCTCCCTATTCTATATTATACTGTACCCTTACAAGGGTACCGTGGGTGCCGCTCCTTTCCCCGGTCCTGGCCGGGAGCGTTGCCCTTTTGCCCAGGAGAGACCTTCTCATCAGGTGACCTCATGTGAGGTTGCTTCTCAACGTATTTTTTCTCCACTCGTTCTTGTTCAACAAACAAGGAAAATGATACTGTACTGGCGCCGCCGCAGTTGGCTTGTGCGTTGCAGAAGGATGGAGTCTGGAGAGAGCTGCACGTCTTTTCCAGCCATTTTTAGAATGCCTAAAAAAGAATGGGAAAAAGAATTTGTCGAAACCAAAACGTCTGCTTAAAATGTCAACCGCTTATAGTTACAGTATATATTACTTATAGTTTTTCAGTGTATTCACAATTGCTACAGTATTCAAATAATGTTTCGCAAGATGCTGTTGTCGAGGGCATGTAGGTTAAAGAAATGGTGTCCGAACTGACTTTGAAAAGTTTCGATTTAATTTAATGTGTACTGCACACAGTACCGCAACGGTACAGTACTTTTGCAAAGAGGCCGTACCCTAAAGCCTCACATGAGGTCACTTCTAGTACATATAAAGACTTTTACGTCTTTACACTCACACACCAACATCGGCAGTCTCAACAAGGCTGTGCCAAACCCTCCACGCGGGCACGCTGCACTGCTGTACACTGTTGCACGTTGATGTACGACACCCTCCATTATTTCCGCATATTTTTGATGCGTAATGTTATCTCACACTAACATTCAGCCTGTGCTCAAAAGTCCGGGAGAGCGCCCCCGCATCTCCCTTGGAGGGGGCTTCGCCGCCCCGCCCCCGCTCGGCCCCCCACGCGTCTACTTCTCATACTTCAACGCTGTCCGATCGCCCAGACCCCTTCACCCACCTTGTCACCTTGCCATCCCCTTCTTAACCCCCCCCATCCATCTCCCGCCCCTACCGCGCTCGCTTCCCACAGCTTCCCACCGCTTCCCCCCCGCCCCATCACCCGACCATGGCCGCGCCGCCCTCCCCACGCCCGTTCTCCTCGCTCGACCAGGCCCTGCTGGAGGCCGCCATGGGCCTGGCCCCGCTGCCGGGCCCGGTCTCGCCGCTGGCCCCGCACGAGCTGCCGAACATGCTGCCCGCCGCCCCCGCCGCCCCCGCGTTGCAGC